GGTTTACATTTGTGGGTGTCACAAAAGATCAATTGTGACAATCTTGTGTAGAAACTATTTTCGTTGCTGTCGTGCAAGCAACGAAAGATATATTGTCAAATGTTTTTTTGTGATTTTTATCTACGCGCACTATAGATCTTCTTCAATGTACATCCTTTAGGAACAGCCGAGGGTAATGTACAACTTCTGAAATTGAAAGGTATTTAACCCAGAGACATCAAGGGACAGTGTCACGATGGAACGTCTCCTTGATTAGAAACAAATTCGAATATTTTCAGAGTGAATTGGTGACTTCCAGCGTTCAATCTAATCATTGTATACCTAATTTGACCACGGTGTCTTAGATGTGTATAGTCGAAGTAATAGACTTCGGTATTACCGTATGAACGTTTACTCCATAGCTAAGTAGAATCCTGTCAACAAAGTGCATACCCATGCGTGTGCTGACAACGCTATGGAAATTGTTGTGTTCTGTAAACATCGCTATTCGCATCCTTCTGCTGAGTAAAGATAGGTGCTATGAAGTTTTTCGCTATTTCTACAGAGCATCTACAATTACTAGCTAGTACGTCTCGTGTTAATGAAAATACTCTGTGATTTTCTGGAACGACGGATGCCGGTCGTAGGGGTGTTTGTCAAACCCTCAGCGCTTTGTTCAGCGCTTCACTAATCTAGCCAACCCTTGACGTTCGCGGATCTTGTGTCATTTTCGGAGGTCCAAGTAATTGTGAGTGATTTGAATTTTCCAGGTATTTACTGGTGTTTTTAAATCTCTTCCGGATTTGATTCGAATACAGTCGAAAAGCCCCCACGTTCCTCACATTTGAAGGTCGCCCATTATTACCACATGATATAGCTCTTCTATTTGATGAACATGTTGAGTGTTTATGAAATAAGGCCATTGTAGTGTCCACAGTTTAAATATGCAGCTCGCTTCCGATATCTCCATTAATGCGCATTTTTCGTTAAATATATAGATGACTATGCTACGTTAAATATATAGATGATTATGTGTGAACTAGACCGTTCGATCTACTCTCGTCCAAGCACTTTACCGTATAAACAAAATCGTAAGGTCGTCATTACGCGTAGACTTTGTCTTGTCTTTCAATCTTCTTAAGTTTTCATTGCATATGACTTCGTAATCCATATCAAGCTTGTTAGTGAATAACTAATTACGTCACTTTTTGCATGTACTTGTTACAGAAGGATTGGAAAAATTGTTTTGTTTCAGTATTTTTAATAGCATCCATTGAAAGCTAGCAAGATGCCTCATGTTGTGTTGACTATGATTAAGCGTCAGGCAAGAGTGTTCTGCTCAAAATTGTTGTTCGTAGTGAAAGCATGAGAATCTGTTCCCGTTGCTTACCGTTGACCTTAAGCTCTATGGCGATCAATACTAAATTAAATTCAGTTATTTGATGGTTGGAGCAAGGTGACGTAAGTATACCATAATCATGATACAATTATTCGCTTGTACCATTAAAGTAATCTCATGACTGTTACATGGTTTTCACATCCTCATTCTTATAATCTAATTATTTCTGCTTTAAAATCGTTCCGCTATCCTGTTGTACTATTATACGACGTCATAAAACACTAAGGTGAAGGTTATATTCGATTTAAACTTGCATTTAATTAAAAACCTAAGAAAATTGATGCATGAAAGTAAGGTAATTATGAATAAATGGGAAAGTTAAGGAGTCGCTTCGCACCCGCGCCTTTCGATAGTACGACTGCCTTTTAAATATTCAACTTTATGGAGTAAAATATCACCGGTTCAATGTCGTTTTCTGCACTATCCGTAGTATCGTTTAAAATCTCTTTAGTTTTCTATATACGTATATATATACTCACAGAACTTGTATATAT